AACGCGTCAACCTCGCATCACAGCGCAAGAAACTGGACGCTGAGCTGACTGAGACCAGACAGCGCGCCGAAGTTGCCGATCGTCAGCGTGACGAGTTCAGCAAGCAACTCAAACGCCTCCAACTGCTTAGCATGGATTTGAAACGTGAATTAGACGCCTCGATGAAGGCTCGTGATGACGCTCTGACAGCCGCGCGCGATCTCGAAAAGCGTCTTCGTGCAACCGAGTCAGAACGTGCGCAGGCCGTCGAGGACCTGGCCGCCTCTGAGAGAACTTGTCGTACCGCAAAGTCGGAACGTGACGAGGCCTTGGAGGAAGCGAACGCCTCACAGAGCGCTAAGTACGCCTCGTTGCTTCTCTATTTTGCGTCTGTTTATCACCTGTGCAAACAATGGTTTCGGTTTCCATTGAATACTCTTATTTGGGCAAAGTCCTTAGGAGACTATCGTTTTTACCGATCGCTCCTCCTGCCTGCTTTTTTTTCAGTGAAACTTAAGTCAGACAGCAGGGGTATGCTAACACCGCGTTTTTAATATGCTGCGTCACCTTAGCGCGTAGTTTGTCTATTTTGGGTAAACCTAACCCTCCAATAGTCAGTGCAGTTTTGCAGTACTGCATCCTCAGCTGGCCTGATACCAGGCACTCTCTCCATGACTGAATCACTTAAGGCGTGATGTGATGTAACTTTGAAGTCGGTAAATCTAAAATGTACCCAAAAAGAATGAAGCCGTAATTTTTATCCTTCTACTACATTTTGAACATTGTCGTAGCTGTTTACGTGTGCCTTTTTTGCGTAAACGCACTTTATCGACACTTATATTTAAAACGGTCCATTAAACCAACCTCATGGTTCAGGGTTCGACGAGTCCTCTTTTTGAGCTTTTACTGAACGGCTGTCCTTTGCCTGAAACATAGTACCGTACGCTTTTTCGCGCATTCAGGTCTATGTGCCGATGATTGCGCCTTGTGAGGCTGGCCTCTCTCATTTGCCTACAGCATTTTTCTACGTGCAATACCCAACACCATCTCTGCGACGAAGAACGAAGGCCCAAGAATCGACTACGCCACTTCTCCTTAACCAGCAGTTTAACATTCGAGACGATAGCACCGTAACAGGCCTCGAGAAGAATGTCTAGACTCCTTCAAGTTTCTTAGGCAGTTTACGGTATTTGAGAGATGTTTCAGCCTCTGCCCACTGTCAGTCAAGATGAAGTCGAGGTACCTCAATGAAAATATCGTTTTCAGACAGTGGTGGATGAACTTATTCACCCCCCCCCCACATTGGCTGACGTACTTATTTGCCATACTGGCTCACACGTTTTCAGGCCTAGACACGTGTTTAACGTATATCCTACCGCTACATCAGTGTGTACCCCAGCATTCTCTGCGTGTGCTTTCTGGTAGATAATCGAATTTTGCAATTGTGCCTTCTTTGTTTCCCCAGAAATCATCTTCAACTCTGACTAAATCAGTATATTCAAGGGCCATCAGGCGCATCCCATAGTTTCTGGTTTCCTTTAGTAATGCCGAGATATTTTGTGGACTGCAGGGATAGAACAGCCTTTCTTCTACGCATTTTGTAGCAAACTGTATTTCTTTCAATTTTTAAGTGAAGGAGGGAATCTCAATTAACTAGCTGTCACTACCTCCGCGTACAGCGTTTGCAAACGTCATACTATAAGTTTGTAAACTGTACGTTTGTTTCGCCGATACTCTGTCGCTGCATGGGACAGCTGGGGACAGGTCCGGCTCATCAGTTGGTCCCCTCCCCCGTATCCCCTGTGTGCTTTGGGTTACATACTCCAGTTTTTAAGTTGTAGCTTTCCAATCTCTTCAGAAATTAGTTCGTTACTCGGAGTAGATCGGTATGCCTAAGGGTCGACCGAAATTATATACATGAATATTTGGGCCGAAGTCCATCGGCCACTACGGGCTAACCACGTAATATTCACAAGCTGCCAGTGGGCTGTCAGTAGTATAACCTACATAATTATCTATCATACTGGCAGTACAGTGAAAGGGGGGACGTCATTAAATTTTGCTAGTTCGAATTTCTTCCGGGAAAGCAATGTTTCACTTTCCTCAAAATTATTTTCTGTACTCGGTGCAGATTACCATCTTGAGGGTCTATAGGCGTAGACCGAAATGTGGGCCGTAGTTCCTCCGCCAGTGCGGGGTGGTAACCGCATAATATTCACAAGCGGTTAACAGGCAGTCAGTAATATAACTGTAGACCCCCTTACTCCATGCTGCTGTACTCCGAGTTGGCAATTGATTTCTGGAGAAATTTTAAAAAAGTTGCAAAAACCCAGCACTCTCAGTCACAGAGATGGACTAACTGTGGATGTATTTCCTATATGCCGGTTGGCCGGTTTTCGTGTCACTGGTGCGCAAACCGATTGGTGTATCTGGTTTCTGTCACGTCAGTGCATCTTACAATCATTGTGTTTGCCTTCATTGTCTTCCCTCAGGAATATGCTGGTGGAGGATAAGAAGAAGCTGGAGGCCACTTTGATGCATCGCGAGGAGGAACTGGAGGAGGCACAGACAGCCCGGGAGGAGGCGGAGGACCGCTACAAGCGCACGCTTTCCCTCATGGAACAGGCCCAAATCGATCTGGGTCTCGAGCGTTCCAATACCCAACGCCTGGAGGCGGCAAACGCTGCGCTAGAGAAGACTGTAAGTGACCGGATAATTGCCTGGCAGTCAGCTTACTGTATCCGTACTGGTGGATTCCATACGAGCAGTAAAGCTGGACAAGTAAATCGACCCAGTCCTGTAATTAAATTCACGGCGCACGGTGAGCCTCGTAGCCTAATGGTAGAGCGTTGGCTGCGCGAAAGCCTTCCCTGCTGTGTGGTGGTTTGAGTTCGCGAGGGTTTTTTGCTAGGCGGACGCATATGTCGGTGTCAGGCATCCAGTCCTCTCCATTAAAGTACTCCCATTGAATTTAAAATCCTGTTTGATAGAAAAGATTCTTTGGGAAACAGGAGCAAACTTTATCGTAAATTTTCGACGCTGACACACCAGGTCGTCTTCGGACTTGAGGGAAATGTGTGAAGAACAGTGCGCATTTTCAAACGTGCCGAAAAATCGATACTGATTCGTCGTCCATGGGATGCTTATTTTCAAATTCATACGAATAAAATCATGTATTAAACCATCGCATGGTGTTGCTGCAAGAGCGCGTGATTAGATATTCGCTTAATATAGCTTATTTCTGTGCTTGAGCCGCGCCAATGAAGCAATCGCTTACTTTCCTTTGACCGTAAGTCTACAAACTTTGTCAGACACCACCACTCGCGCAATGACCTTGACAGGTTAACTGTCGCAAGCTACGTCGTCTGTTGTGTGCTTCACGGAGTGAGTGCAGCATCGGTGGTTTGGGTGTGATAGGGCGTCTACACGTGCTCTGCATGACCTGATCACCGATCCGATTCTCGCATGGATTAAACTATCGTTAAGTAAGATTAGGAACTAACCATTGCGGCCGGCCTCTGAATGGGCAGGGATGGTTGGTCAACAACTGTCTGTAAAGCCAGCGATGATGCCTCTTCTTTCGTAGACGGTGTTGGTCAGAAACAGAATTCCGTGCAGACTTGCGGGAAGCGAAAATGCTACCAATCCCGTCGTGACGTACCTCTTCCTCGCAGGCAGCATCGTCTGTGCCAATGTGGGCATTAGAATCACCAAGTACGTTCCTTTTGTGCTGATGCGGGCCAGATGCCAGGAAGGCATGCAGGTCTCCGTAGAACTTGTTCCTTGCGTCATTGTAGCTACCTAATGGGAAGGGCATAGTTACTGACGATGGTGGCGCATTTTTTGCCCACTGAGGGACAATCTCGTAGTCGTGAGGTGCCTGTTGACGCTCTGTGGTAGATAGAACAGTCGTCGATTCTGATGTCATAGATAGCTTTGGCGTCACTTTTATCTGCAGTTGGACCTCCGCTTCAGAAGAAGGTGTACCGGGTATCCAATTCCCATTGTCAAAGAATCCTGCCGTGCTGGCTGCTGTCATGTCGACCTTATAGTGGGTCAGTTCGCGAGTGGCCAGGGTTGTCTTTCCGATCGGTTTGCCAAACATACATTCCAGCCTGCCAGCGTGAGCAGAGTCACTCAAGCAGCCTATGGCGTGGGATGTGAGGTGTCATTTTGCTTATGGTTTCGTCTTTTGGGTCCACGAACCACAGTCAGCTGGCAGACAACTCGATTTTCTAGCTCCGTCCCTCGTAGTACATCAAGCAGCATTAGCCCAATCTGTGGGGCTGCTTTGTCCTCCTTAATTGGACTGGATTGCATGCCCTACTTTTAGGGGGAAATATAGGATCAGGTTTGAGTGTGAAAACACGCACATCGGGCAGCTTCATCTAACTTGGCTCGTCGGTCAAGCATGATTACCGGTATATGGCTGAGCTGGACTTTTTAGAGTCACTGATGAGGGCTGGGTGTCAAAGCGAGACACCCACCGATGTGCTTGGTTGGAAACACCTGTGTTTTGTATGTTCTTCCCGTAACTGTAGGCTTGCTTGTTCTAACCGGCGCAGATAATGCCGCCCACGCCACTGCCATGCACGAGAAGGGTATTCTCGTCAGTGTAAAGTCCGTAAAATTTCTATTCGACCGTATCGACGAATCTGGAGCCACCGTACGGCCGGCCCACCAGGTTTTCATATTTTCGTCGGGACTGTGTTTGCGTCATAAAGCTGGTTCTGCGCCCACGTAACTGTGTGCGCATGCACGACTGATTCATACTTCTTATGTTGGTGTCTAAGTGATGTACTTTAGTGCACCATACCCACCCATTTCCAGTGTCACTGTGTTCGCGAACTAGTGGCTGCGTTGTCAGAACACTGTTGGATTTTGACTCGTTCCCAGCGCGCATTTCTCACCGACTGCTGTACTACAACGATCAACAGTCATACATAAGAACTTGTGTTTATCCAATTATCTTGATAGATTTCCATTCCTGTCGCTTGCTTTAGGAGAGTTTGATCTGTAAAACCGCTTTCATCGTGTGTTCACCTGCCAATCCTAAAGCAGCAAGTCAACGTGTTTGTAGGAAGCCGAACAGAGTGATATATGCAGTACGACACCAGAAGGTGTCTTTTTTGTACAGTCTGTCCCGGAAGAGTGTCTTAGAATTTACCACTCTGGGATGAACGGTGCTGTTAGTAGATATTATTACGAGCAAAGACACGGGAGTCTGAAATGGCCATTCCTGGCTTATTGGACGTCGTCAGCAAGTCATAACCAGACCAAATTAGTGTTCCACTCGAGCCTCCAACGCACAATCTTTTTGGTCTGAGTCGAACGGCCTGAACATTGAGCCACCAGCTCTTTGTCGAGCCGGTTTAGGTTAAGAGCTATTGACACTCATTGGTTAACGTTTACACGACCGCTAACGGAATTCATCGGTCCCACTCTGCCTTGTGTCTCGCTGAAGGCTCTAACAACCGTGACAGTTGGTAGTATAGGCAATGACGGGGGAGACTGGAATGA